ACACCACAGTCATCACCAGAAGACACCAAAAGAAAGACCCCTGCCGTCTGCCGCAGAGTTTGCCTCCGCCGGCTTCTTCCACACGGGCCGTGGAGACGAGACCGTCTGTGGCGTCTGCGGTCTGGGTCTGCGCGACTGGCAGCCCGCCGATCAGGCAGATCTGAGTCATGCTCGCTACGCGCTGGCCAACGCCCTGGCCGTGGCGGAAGCCCTGCGTGCTAGCGGTCAGCGGCAGGTGGAGCGTACCTCCACCTCTGTCCCCTGTCTCTTCCTCGAGGTGCATCGACTGCTCTCCTCCGACCTGCCCCTGACGCGTAAGAACCTGGCCTCGGCGGCAACGGTGACGGCACAGGAGTACGTTAGGAACCTCGCCGACCGACTGGCGGCCATTGCCCGTATGCTTGTTGCTACGGGTCCGCAAACCTGGCCTGTGCAGAATGCTCGCCGTCTTGGCTACTCGGACGATCTCATCTTGCTTGGCCTTTGGAGACTGCAGTCTGAGGCCACCTCCACACCGATCTCATTTGTGCCCCGAAGTGCGATGAGTCCGAATCCACAGGTGGGAGTCAATTGCAGTGCTCACTTTCTACTGAATTTCCAAGTCCACAAGACTGCAATTCAGCCATTTTTGGGCTCTTAGTAATGAGAGTCTCCGAATTATTGCACAATCTTGTATGTAGCTTTCACATCCACTATGTTTGCACATATAAGGCACAAAGGGATACGCATGTCTCGTAAGCCGACCGGTAAACACGCTTCCCGACTGAAACCGACAGGATGAGTCCGTGAATCAATGTTTATAGCGTTGGACTAATAACCAAAAGAATCCGCACTTACCCCTCAACCTGGGGTTGGGTAAAGCTGGCCGATGACTTATAATAAACCACACCGAGGTCTTTGTTGGCAGTCTTCTGCGTGCATGTATATGTATATTCACCCAGGAAGGGGCGCACACCGATCCGTTGGCTTCCCGAAGCAAACAAGCTTCGCATAGGTGATAGGGGTCACGAGCAGGCAACCACCTACTAGGCTGAAGTCAGGTTGCTATCATAACTTGGCCGACTTCGGCCTGGCAGTTGGTTGCCTGTTCATGGCCTTTGCCACCCATACGGAGCAGATTAACAGAACAATAACCAGCCAATGAACATTAAAACGCCTGTTAAGGTGTTCCTCAGGCAAAGGAGTCGTCAAACAAGCAACGAACTCTGCTACCGGTGCAGGGTACATGTCACCTCACACTTGACTGGCGGTGACATTTTAGGAAAAAACTGGCTCTAGCAACCTTTTAATAGAAACAAGGGGTTGTTGAGAATTCTATGAAATCGCGCTAGCTTGCTTGCCAGTCAATGGAAGCTAACGACCCCGTCTCCCTCTTATTCTCTCTTCAAGGACACTGCCATCCTCCTGCGATCAATACTGCGCATTCAGGAGAGCGGTCTGGATGATGAGGAGGAAGCCGACGGCACTGGTGACGCTCCGGTCGCCCCACCCTCTCGCGCGTCGCCATCGCCAGCCGCCAACGAGGAGGAGGAGGCCCCCGTAATGGTCGATGACTCCCCCGGCAGCGCCTCGGAGGACGCAGAGTTGGCTGCTCTGCCAAGACGGTGGCGTCAACAGCGCCCATCGGCCGCCGCCACTGCCGCCCCACCTCCCTTGCCAAAGTTTAAGTTACCTAGTTTGGCGCAGATCCTGGCCTGGTGGGCGGAGAAGTGGCCACAGCGACAACAGCCACAGCAGGCGGCGGAGGAGGAGCCGACGTCGGATTCGACCCTCCGTCCCCCCGTCTCAGCAGTAGCGCGGAAGAAGGCAAACTCCGCCTCCATGTGAGAGCGCTCCGTCCGTCTGACGTTTTACTTCCTTCTCTCCCTCTCATTAATTCCCCCTCCTGCCCACCTCTTCCACCTTAGATTATGTTACCCATGTCAGCTGCCTGACTGCCTTTAAACACGCGCGACTGCTTCTCCTTTGTCGCGACGTCCGCAGCCTCCCCCCCCCGTTTAACCTACCGCCGCGATGTTATTAGACCGTTGACTTTTGGATTGTCATCTCAAGCCTCTCTTTTCGTGTCTTTATCCTGTTGATCGAGTAACCTGTCACATCATTTCCTTGTCAGACTACCCTTGGAAGCCGTGTTATTTGAAATAAACCCTTACGGAGTACCTATGGGTCGGGATCACGTCAAGACTTTACTGACGGGTCGCTTGGGGTTGACTGTCACAGTCCCGATGGGCAGATGGCGCAGTCGCTGCAGAACGGACACCTAGAAGATGTGGAGTTTAGACTCGTTTCTAGAAAAGTGTGAAGAGGAACAGTAGGAGAGCTGGGGTATGCACAGTTGAGCAGGCGGCGTGCGACATAAGCGAATCCGTCGGCTGGGCCAGTCGTGAGTGTAACAGCCGGTATACGTCAAGTCTGCAAGTCACAATGTTAGTAACATACTTTCTTGATCGCCATGGGTGGCCGTGACTTTCTTGGGCGTGATAATGCAGTACCTCGGCACGTGCATGCATGGACTGTGGACATGTGACGGCGAGAGCGTAGGACTATGTATGGCTCCCGAAACGCCGAAATACGAACTTATCCCGGCAAACTCGTTGAATTCTGAAAATTCTACAGGAACGAGATATTGTCTACATTAGTTGGTATAGAGGAAGACGCGTCTTACGGAAATGCTCGAGGTTAAATTAGATTTCGCCGGAAAGATCTCCAAGCAGAATTGAATGTTCCCGAAAATACAGCTGACACCCAGACGGAACTAATACGACAGACTCGTCTGCCGAAAAGCACCTTATTCTGCCTTAAGCACTTACAGGGGAGGACGCTTCGAACATATGTAGTTATCCAGAGGCCTCCCTGTGCAACCCAAACTGTGGCTCAGCATACAACAAGCAATTGCACGAAAACCGCCCCCCTACTGAGTCGACTAAGGATGCTTCGAAGTTGAGAGTCAACCCTGAAAGGATCTGCGAGTTCAAACTTGCATGGTGAGCCAGGATTTGGTACTTGCTGATGGCCATATAGTCTCGTACAATGGGAAACACACTCCGACAAGGGCTTGAGGGGCCGAAACGCTCGTTTTGCCCTAGCTGCTGCCAAGTTCAGTCCAGGAGCTTAGCAGGATAATTTATAACAAGTTTGAGTACCGAGTCTTCGTCAATAATTGTCCCACCGCTTGTTGGGTCACACTTCTCAGGTAGATGAACTCGTGTAAGTCGTTTGACAGTCGCTGTTTCGACACACGAAGTCCGCAAGAGCTTCGCTGTTTACGCATCCGACTGAAATTCTCGAAGTTTCCAGAAATAATAAATCATGAGAACAACCACAGCACGATATACATTCAAGTATAACATTAGAAAGTTCACAAGAAACATGAAAAGGCTAAAAAAGGGACTAGAGGGGATATCAAAAGCACATTTCATGCAAAGGGAAGAACCGGTGAGTCATTTCTTGGGGCTCGCTGGTTTCACTCCTTCTTCTCGGGTGCCGTTGCCGCCTCTGTCGCTGCAGCCGATTCTCGGATCGCCGCCAGAAATGCATGATTTTCATGTAAAAACATGGGCATGGTTCGACGGGCATAGAATTCACCGTCTCGCTCCAAATTGGCGATGACATCTTCAGCAAGGTAGGCCTTGCCTGCTTGAGTGCCCCCGTCGGCCGCAGAGTCCACATGCGCGAAGTGCATATGCAGTCGGTAGAAGGTGGGTGGATAATGAAAGTAGGCGAAAATCTGATCCTCGGCGAGGACTGCCGGCGCCACCGCCGTCTCATCTTTAGTCGTCTCGGTAGCACTGTTGCTGTCGCTGCCGCCGTCGCTGTTGCGACCATATTTCGCGACGAGAGCGCGGCGACCCTCCGACAACATCTTCTTCAGCATCGGCAAATGGCAAGCCCTAAGATCCCGCAGACAGGTGAGGCTGGTTGATCGAGCCAGCGCCAGACAGTGCAGTTCGTGCAACTGGCGTCCATCCCAGCGATAGTCGAGGACAAAGGTGAAGCCCAGAGATTCGTCCGGATCAGCGAAGAGCACTCTGTCGGCTTCAGCCGTACCATTCAGAATGTTGTCTACCCATGCTAGGTCGCGAGGGCTGGCCGCCAGGAAGGGCACAATGACGTTGGAGTAGATGTCCGGAGTTTCAAGAACCAACCGACGTCTAGAAGCCGAGTATTTGGCAAAGTGCTGTGCCTCCGCAGGATGGATCACAGTCATACTGAGGGAGTTCAGACCCTCTAAACCAGCTTTTACTAGGCGCCGATGGTATATGTCGTTGTCCATAACTCTATCGGCCTTCCACTCGGGGAAGACAAGACTCTCTTCCACTCCGTTACGGGCCTCCCCCTCCTCGTGCTCCTTGCCCTCAGAGAATGGACGTCCCAGATGGGCATCACAGAGTGCCTGCACCTCATTTGGAAAGGGGTTCTTCTGAAGGACAACGATGGCGTCCTGGTTCAGAGAGTCGCTGAACTTGGCGTGCAAACAAATGCACTTGCCCCGCGTATCATTGCGCAGAATCTTAACAATTTGCATTTTAGCCGGCTTATAGGAACAGGTCTCAGAGCAGTCTTCAGAGACTACGTGTCTTCTTTTCCGTGGAGGACTGGGTTCAACACACAGGCTCGCGTTGGAATTATCACCGGTATCCATAGTTTCAGGCAAAATGCTTCAAATCAAACTGAACAGCAACAACGTCGGACTCCCGGACACGTGCGTGGGGGACAGTACCCAGTGGTGTTGTCAAATCTTTAAAACAAATAACACCGCGCTGTTCTGGAGAGTTGGGCGTTTGCGAGAAATCAGGACACCAAACGTTTAAACGGCCAGAAATCGAGTCGGGAAATTCAAACAGATGTATTTCCGAGGGAATGTCTTGACCGGTCAGGTGAGACAACAGTGAAAGGTAACGTAGACGTAAATCTGAGAAATATGAGGGCGGGATTTTGAGCAAGTCGTAAATGTCTGGGCTGCCTGGTTTAGAGTTGGGCTGAAGAGAGCTCATAGGGGGCTATAGAAGATTGCTATCACGGAGATAGACTATCCCAGGGTTGTAATATGGGTGAGTGAGGTTGGAACGATCGGCAGGATGCAGATTCTAAAACGCAAATGTAAAATGATCAACAACCAAAAGTAACATGGCGGTACTAGGGACAACAATGCTTTTCCTGATCCACACTGAGTTGCACGCAAGAATATGGCCTATCTTTTGCGGAGTACACGTTTATGACATAAACCTGCTGAATAACCGCGAAATGGCCAAGCCGTTTTTTGGCAAGAGACGCAACGGGAGTCACGTCATTTACTTTGGGACAAAAATCAAATACCTATAGGGTTAATGAATGGTGAGTTCGTCAAAAGATAACAGAACAATCCGAGTATCAGTCAGATAGGTGCATGCCCGGAGAAATTTCTGCTTTCCTCTCTAAAAAAGTATTGGAAAAATATCGTTGGCGCAAGCATCCATTTGCGAAATTCTATAACATGACGCTTTTTGAGGAGAAGGCTTACTAGACAATTTTAATTATTCGACCACAAGCATGTTCAACATGGGATTTAGATTTTGAAATTGTTTTTTTCATAATTGTGACAACTTACACGTAAGGGCTGGATGGTCACTTGCAGACAAAAATTTCCGCGAACATGAACTACGACCTTTCTATAGGTTTCACAATCGTGAAATAAAGGAACTTTTTTTCTGAAAATTGACTGGGTACGCTAACTTAGCCGAGTATCCACTGACACAACGGTTGCCAGTAAAAAAAAGGGAAACTTTACGGAAGCGGATAGTGTGCTCAAGGCTTTCGTAGCTGACTTTTCAGTATGCCATCCTGTAAGTTTCATTTTTGGCAACTTCACTATTTTGAATCAGATGAACTTATCTCGCACTGTAAGCCTCGCGAAAAAGGAATTGTTGTCTAACACTTCCTTGTGTGTTGTTAAAAATTTCTCTAACACCATACATAGCACTGGTAACCACATTTCTAGATATTAACTCTTCGAAAATATTTAGCCCGATGATAATGTAAAAAAGTTCATAAACCTTATATTGCATACTTCGTCTTATCATTCGTTTGTCTGAGAGAACATACACAATACAGTTCTACAAACCAAGTCGGTTAGTTCGATGCAGCTTTTGATGTTTTGACATTCACGCTTTTCTCTAAAGGCTATCACTTCTGATCAACTTAAAAAGCCCCAGTAACCGTCCCTACCACAGTGACCAAAGTAACTATTCGTTCGAGATCAGTAATTATTTTTGGACACTACGGTTATGGTCTCGAGAACAGTTTCTAAGTTACAAGGAAATTTTCGTATAATAAGGCGCGTTTCGCTAATCTCGATGTTTACTGTGCATAATCTGATTTCTTGTTTCATGACATGAGTTCTGTTGCCGTTGGTGAAGACGACGGCGGTGCGTCAGTTAACTTTGAGGTGTAGATCATATTTTTGATATCCGGTGGAAAGCTGGACAGACCACGCTCTCAAAGCACGCTATCGGAAAGCATTATGACATAAGGGTACCAACGGGCCTTTACTATGCTTCCTGCATCTTCCTATAGGAATTCCGCTAAAAAAACATCCAGAATGTAGTTCTGGATGGAAAGGTCGCCTAGTTTGCAGGCTTATACAGAAATGTCCCTTAAATGACTCGGGACGCAGTTGCCAGACGGAAGCACACGGACTGCACTGTCGCTCGAATCGATGAAACTTACAGGCTGCCTGAACATATCAATGCCATCAAGGGCATATTTCCGTTGCCGTAAAGACCTGGATATAAAAGACGCCCTTATGGTCTGCTATTGAGACGACTGAACTGTACGTGCCGGGTAATCAAAACCAGAAGGTTTTCAACCGCCGTTGACCGGAGACGATCTGTCGGGATAGATAAACAAAATTCGACCTGCTTGAGGCAGGCTGTGCTTGCTGGCAGCATTACAAAAGTCCAGGCTATCAAGAGGAGATTACAGTGGTGTTTTGTCGTAAACCGATGCCCCTATATAACTAGAGGTGACGAAGTGGCCAAGTCGACTATTACTTCAAAACAGAGCACAGAATTAGATTTTGAATTTCTGGTAGAATATCTCCGCGGGTGACAAAGAGAGCAGATAGGGATCACTAGATCCCCAGTCGCAGATCGTCAAGCGCGGAGAGGAATTGTCCGCGACAACCTTGAGGGCATGATGGTACACGACCACAACCGCATCAAGGGAGCATATGAAGAGAAGCAACAAATCAGACAGAGAAGAAGTCGTGCAAGCTCGGAGGCTTTGAGCTACTTACATTGTTCACCAGAAGAATTATATCAAGTAAGTACCAAAGACCCATCCCTCCAACTGTCCACATCTTCAGACAGCCTAGGAGGACATGAATGCAACTTTCAAACGGAACAAACCTAAAGCGACGTAACCCAGGTAAAAGCGGTCAAGTCCGAAGACTCCCCCGAAAATAGAAAGGAGCAGAGCAGTTTCGTATTTATATCCATTCCTGAATGAAGGCTAGACGAAAAAGATGGCCTTACGTCCACAGACAGGTGATGTTTTTCTTAAAGAATCGAAAACCATCCACGTCTATTAAGCCTTTACACACGATCCCCGGTGCGACTGTACATTTAGCTAGATCATAAATATACACGAGCAGTATGCTTACTTTCCGCTAGCCCACTTATTCTTGAACAGTGCTGCGGCTGTTGTGTTAGCGGATCAATGCGCGGTTCCAGACAAGTAAACTGGCCGGGCAAGAGTTCGGTGCACTGTTTCAGGCAATAGACGGTGGAGGAAAGCACAATGATAAGAAGAAAAAACGCTTTCAAAAAGAGCATGGCGGCACAAACCCAACCGATAAACAACAGATCCCTGGAACCACAGGACCAATGAGACCAGATAACACTCCTAAACCAAGCACAGTCTTGGAATAAACCCTTTCAGCTTCAGTCGCCTGAGAAATGTGGGACATTTCCAAAGCCTTTGCAAAAGGACTGTGAACGAAACTATAAACTCACCAGTAATCTATGTTGCAACATCAGAGAGAACACAGAGGAAGAGACGAATGAGCACAATGACAAAAGTCAGCAAATATATCAAGATTTTAATTGATTTCGTCAGTCAATGAAAGTCTGGCCAACTTTAGGATATATACGGAACCAATGACTCCTGACTACCCCAGAAATACTCTTCCATTTGCTTAACGTCAACCAAGACCTCCGCGCCATTTATGAAGCGTCAATGGTACGCTGTAAAACCCTGCACTAACGGTACTTGTCTCGGCAAATGTTGTAGCCATACGTTTGTCCAAAACGGTGCAACGTTTATAAAAGGGGCTTGTCGAAGCCCGCCAAGGATCTTGACATAAGCCGAGCCCTTAAAATTCCTAATAGAAACCAGTCATGTTGCTTTCCAGAAGGTACGCACAAATGAATCCTGTTTATACCACATTCCTGATCTCACTACCAGATCATATCTAGTCCTTTGAAATATTCAGCCTTCCCAGAAAACACCCATTCCTCTCCCACACCTTGTCACTACCTGCTCTTAATTTTCTACTGCCACACTGCGATATATGTTGTTTTATATGCATGGAGACAAAAAAATCTAAAACATGCGTTCTGAATCAGGTTATATGAGCTAACCCCTGTCAAGCTCGGTATGGATTGGTGGTGTTGCTCCACAAATTCACTACCACACGTCCAATCGGTTATCAGAATATGCTTACGAGTCTAGTCGCTAGATTTTAGCTCCCTTTGCGCGTACTCTCTTGGGTGCCCCTTATAAAATCATATCATCCTTCCAATTTTCTAAAGTCCCTGGTATTCGCAAATGAAGTTTATCGGAATATTTGAGTCCAGACAACCTTGTGGGAGACACTGTCGCGTCAACTCTAAAGAGCATTATCAGGGATATCTCCGTGAGACCATCTGTCCCACGGTAGGTTTGATGTGGATGTTTTATAACATCAGACGATAAGCTTGATTTGCAGCGAGGATGATGCAGCCACCATTGAAGCCAACCAAATTGCAACTGGTAAGGCAAAAATTGAGACCCAAAATATTTAACTTTGCAGACCAAAGATGCAGGCTCACAACCCCGCCTATTGAGTCCACATTGACAGCGGGCATTCAGGGCACGAATTGACCTCATCGGACATCTCCGAATATAGTGCATGATCAAGGTGACGAATCTCAACTTCCGTTTCTTAAATATCTTCATAATAGTCGCCAATAGGCCGATCATCGGCACAATCATTAGCAAAACTAACGAGAACACTCCTAACAATATTCTTACTACCGCCCGTCAACCAGCAATATGTCTTCAGTTCTACCCCATGCCCACTGTGATCGCAACTCCGAATCACACCTCGAGATGGTCGGTCGACTGACAATTAATCGAAATTAAACAGACGCCCTGTGCGTGGAACCCGACATGCATGCACACAGTTCGGCCATCGTGAATGATGACGGAATGCTTACGGAATGGTGGGCGCAGGACTGTGACTTGCGTGGGAATCATTGTATAGTTAGGCAGAAATGCGCAGCATCTACTGCACTCTCTCTTTGGTCACCTACTATGTTCTGATGTCAAGAAATTGTCAAGACGACCGGGGGTGATCATGGACACGATGACTTACAAAGCTAAACAACCCGTTTATGCGTGCCACATACGACCTTCTCAGGGTAGAATATGCCTGGCTTCTGCAAGCGCGATTAGAACTTCACACCGGTGAGGGTGCTATACGGGTCACATTTGAAAAGGGCAAGTGTAACCTGATTATTAGTCCTGAGAATAACAGACATATCCCATCATCTGTCAGTCTACTGGGTCGCGGCTTTCAGCTCATCGTAATAAATTTTACGAGTCTGAATTATTATGGCAAACAATGCGCTATTTGTCGTCGAGCTGGATTGTCTAGTATCAGCGCCACTCTCGCATCCCACTACCATACACCAGTCAACCGTTCGAGCCTGTCAGAGATCTGGCGTTGGGATTAATTGCAATAGGTAAAGGACACGCCGAAGAGTGCCATAACATCCACGAGTGCGGCAGCGTTTATGGGATGGGGCGGATTCTGACCCTCCCGATCAACACGTGTCGTGAGACAATCCGGTACTTGCATGACCTGCTCCTCTCAACATATCGTTACCTGCGACTGGGCGGCTCGGATCTCGCATGCTTGAGAATGTCGTAAAGGCAATATTAATAATAATTTTTTATTAAAGACCCGTCGGGGTTCCATCAAAGCAAGAAGGGAACATTGAGCCTGACTCTCAGCCATCCAGTCAGTCAATCCACACAATACGGACCATGAGGTCCAAGTTCTCCCATCGTTTGGCAACCTTTCAAACTACAACTTTGGCGCTCCGCGAGACACTTAAATGAACTACCTCTAATATAACGAGAAACGCATTGATTTGCTGCGGTGGTGGATCCCCCAACTTTGAGCCCACTCTACTGAGTCTTCTGAGTCTTCCAACTAGCCAGCTAGTGACTGACAGAGCTATAATGGCCCGTCTGTCTGTCAAACACGGCTTGTTCACTGTCAGATACCATGTTAGCCCAATGAACATGTCCCCCCCATATGTGGCGGGCGATGCGAGGCTGGGAGGAGGCTGTCCAGGGGTAGGTAGGGTGGTGGGTCAACGTGGGGCGATAGGGTTTGAACTGCGGTGTTTTGCCGCAGACTTCCTCGGAGGTGCACACGACTGAGTGATCCCATGCGATGGCTGGACATCTTGGCGCAATGAGGGCACGCGAAGAGGTTTCGACGACCGCATGTTGAGGCCCAATCAGTCAGTCACTGGTCTTAGTGCGACATATTCGTAGCGCTTGACCGGGCTTATGTTTGATGTAAGCGTATGGTTGTGTAAGGACTGTATCCGATTGTTTCCACCGAGCCGGTGGTGTGTAAGTGATAAGCCCATTAGTTGGGCGCAGTGAGAAGGCTATCAGGAAACGAAGATAACATCATCCCAACAGTTACAAACTAATAAATAAGAACAAAGTCGTCAGCAGGCAAAAATGCACGTGCTTGCTCTGTGCCTTATTCGAAGTTGTGTCGCGCTCTTTTAAAATGCGTATTGTAACTGAGTAAAACCACACGGGCTTAAATGTCACTACAATACTCCCCCTCCTAAGATAACAGATTTCAAAAAAATTGTTGTTAATAGAAGGAAAAGGTGGGAGTGTTATGCATATTGTACAAGTTAGTAACGACCGGGAAAGTGGACATGACGAACACCGCGCGTAAGTGGGAGGATTCTGCGAGCTAAGGGAAAACGCAGGGTTATCGGGCGTAAGTTGAGTCTGGGAAGTATCAAGCGGCAATGTGCCGAGTGGAGATTATTCGGTTGGGGAAGTTGAAAGAGGCTCGGTATAAGCCGCGTTCAAGCAATCGACTGAGACCACGCCGGTGCAACCTCCACGAGCAATGGTAAAATGCTCATCAGTGCGAGATTGTACTCGAAATGGGTCGTCATAGGACTGGTGTAGTAGCCGACGAACGTTATTTACGCGGACAAATACAACAGAACATGTTAGTAAGTTCGGGTCGATGCACGACTTACTGTGGGAGCACGTGGAGGAGTGGCTCGAATGTGAGTCATGGCTTGGCGCAATCTTTGCACATAATTGCTGGGATCCAAGTCGGCTGGGCTTTGAGAGTAGCCGAAAAAATCACTGGGAATCCGTAGAGTAGTACCGTAGACAGGCGCGTCAGCGGAACACCCCAAGTCGGGCTTGAGTGCAGTACGGATACCGAACATGACCAAAGGCAGATGCTCACTCCAATGGAAAGTGTTGTCATGATCTCGGAGCGAGGTTTTGAGTTGCCGGTGGAAACTCTCGACTGAGTCGTTGGATGAAGGATGGTATGATGTCGCGCGTATGTGAAAACATCCAAGGAGGTCGGTAAGGCTGTGAAAAGTCTAAACTCGAATTGTTGACCTCGATCGGTGGTAATAGTTGAGGTGAGACCATAATGAGAGATCCAGCATTCCAAAAAGGCATGAACAACGGAATTTGCAGTTATATTAGGTAAGGGGGTTGTAATGGGCCAACGAGTAAATCGGGCCATCACAGTAAGTAAGTAGTTGCAAGGCCGCGATGTCGGAAAAGGACCTACCAGATCGATATGGACATCTGCAAAACGTGCGTCGAATGCGAGAAAATTGCAAATGGGGGCTATGTTGTGCCGTCGGATTTTGGCCTTCTGACAGGACAAACATGAACAGGTCCACCGGTGGATATCAGTGTTCATGCTTGGCCAAACGAAACGCTCGCTGACGAGGCGCTGGGTAGTGAGGATGCCAGGCTAAGCAAGATTGTGCAACGTGGCAAAAAATATCCTCTCATCTCGCTTGGCACTACGGGTCGGGACGCGCCGCGCGATTCGTCAGACAAGATTGTACCGGGGGTGGTGAAATGAGGAATGGCCTCGAGCTGAAGACCAGTTTGCTGAAGGCTGTCGGTGAAAGTAGGCAGGTTTAGCAGTTCTGCCATGCGCTCCACGTTAATGGAACTGCGGGGGATGGCATTAATGCCAGGCCGAGACAGATAGAGAGCAACTTGATTATAAAGGCCTATAAGAAATCGAATGATCAGGATCTATCCAAGAACATATCCGGGAGGGTGCTACGGACCCCGCTGGATGCGACGTGAACCTGCAGCTTGACTTGTCACCACATTCCCAATACTGACATTTGTTGTGGGTGCACATTCCCAATGACGCTCGCTGGACATCGATTTAGCCTTTGTGTTGTTTTAGCGCATTTACCCCGTGGGCCGTTTGAGGGGTATACCCCAAGAAATTATCGTTCCCAAAACAACGGACTTCCACTCACTACCCAGACCCTATAGGGCAAATCTTTTATCCAATAAGCCGATATCCACGTATAAAAATTACGTCCTCCTTCCAAATGAGATAACGCGACTCTCACATTCAAGCGAATCTTTTTCACAGTTGCATTCCTAATGTAGATTTTATGTATCAATTAATAGCGGGAAACTTCAATTTTCATGAAGTCTACTGGCTTCTACCTTCCAAGTCTAGGAAGTTACAGGCGCTACTCCAAGCCATATTTTTTGGCAAGCGGAACCACTTTATCGACTTTTGCACTCTTGGAGTATGAATACTTGATAAAATGTCTGCAGAGACCGTCTGTTTGGTTCAGTGCCATTTCTAGTTCCACGCAAGGGCTCTGATAGTAAAATTTTTGTTTACCAAGTAAACTGACTGGCCGGATTGTGTCTGAATAATATAGATCCTTCTTAGATCCCCGATTTATTCCTTTGGAGAAATTGTAGCCACAGCTTAATTCTCACGAGTGGACTGATTTCATCCTCAGTTCAGATACAAACGTTTGCATTGTTAAACTGAACTAGGTTCTAAACCCACTCATTTCTCGTTTTGCTCCTTTATAAAAAATAGTTTATGTCATAAATGACTTTTCCCTTCCTTATTCTTTTGTCGTAGACTGCATAAGATCTCCTATCGTTTCACATGCAGACCGACATTTCGCTGTTGCTATTAATCCACCATAGAAGACAGGTTAGCCGAAAACTTCGACTTTACCAAAACCCAGTAGTCAAGTGTCTGGAAACTTTCTTGCACATTAGGAACATATGGAAAGACGCAGCACCCTTCCACCGAGAAGCCCTAGGAACTTCCATAGACGCCAAGTTGACCACTGAAGAGGTGGAAGAGGTGAGCAAGGGCGAACATTTATAAAGGAGGAAGAAGTAGAACGCGTCCTTCTGGCGGATGCACAGTCGTCGCAAGGCGGACTGAGACGGAGCACGGCGCAGAACGCTCTGACATAGAGGCGGAGTTGGCCTCTTTCCGTGCCACTGATGAGGCGGGGGGACGGAGGGTCGAGTCCGACGTCGGCTCCTCCGCCTGCTGCGGCTGTTGTCGTTGTGGCCACTTCTCCCCCCACCGGGCCAGGATCTGCGCCAGACAAGGTAACTTAGACTTTGTTAAGGGAGATAGGACAGCAACAGCCGATGGGCGCTGCTGACGCCGCTGTCTTGGTATAGCAACCAACTCGGCGTCCTCCAAGACGCTGCCAGGGGAGCCGTTGACCATAACGGGGGTCCCCTCGTTGACGTCTGGCGATAAAAACGCGCGGGAAGTTGAGGTAACAGAGGCGAAACCAGTGCCTCGACTTCCTGGTCATCGTCCAGACCGCTTTCCTGAATGCGCAGTATCGATCACAGGTGGATCGCCGTCTTTGCCTACGCTCCCCTGCGCCATTGTACCTTAGCCGATTTCAGTCCGGTACGTCATGAACTGTTTGGGACCTCTGTCCCCCCTCGCGGTATGGCTGCTTCAGAGAGCCAGTGGGTCAATTTTCACCTTCTCGCACCAGCACAAATACTTGATCTGCAGCGTTGGGTGATGCTTGTTCATGAGCCTAACTTGCGGAAATTAATAAAAAAATAATATTAGGTGGTTTTAGTGAGCCCCAGACTGAATAACATTTAGGTTTAAATAAGAAAAATTACCAACACTTGTTGGTGTTTCCGCGCGCAGAAGCAAGGCAGGAACTGGCTCCCACAGGCCATGTAGGATGGCGAAGGCACACTCTATTTTGTCCCGTAATGTTGGACTGAGATACCCTCACGGTCTGCGTGGTCGATCGTGTTATGCACATCGCACGTTTCTCTCTTTATTCGTGCAATCGCCCTCTTCCAACGACAAGGTGTCCAGGGCGAGTAAAGGCGAATGCGGACGTTGCGATTATGGAAACAAAACCAGTTTTCTTTTGCTAAAAGCGTGTGGTTCCGCCAGCACATGAACCAATCTTCAGGGCAGGGGACTGAAATTATTCATTGTGCAGAATTTCCACGAAGCTATAATTTGACTGCGACCATTGGAGCTTAACCTCCTGGCCGGCAAAAAAACAGGTGGGACCAGGCCATCAGCAGTTTCCAACGCCCTGGCTTTTGGCGGGTTATAACAACTTGGAATGCACCAGTTTGTTTATGGTGAGAATTTTATTCATCAGATCCTTCCTGAAATAACTTCACTCTCTATACCTTTCGTACACGAATGACATGTCTGAGTAGAGTCGATTGGAGATGTTACCGGATCCAGCGTCAGAAGTCTGGAAAGCGGCAATAAAGTCAGTGGGAAGTTTGCATTTTGCTTCCTACTTAATATGTAGCGGTAGCTTAAAATATGTAAACAAAAACAGGACAATCAGGCCAGCGACTGGCAGCATGCAGCAAAGCGGAGCTATAGGTTTGAATTAGGATTTGTTGAACTGAAACCCGGTCGTGTGTTGCGTGGCCCGTCTTCCACTTTTCGCTTGCGGTGTCATAAAGTGCCCCTTAATATCTTAAGAAAATAAGAAACATACAACGCATATGATTTTGTGCGCAGATTTATCAGCTCCTTACCAAAGGGATTGCGTTCATAGGTGAACATGCATGGTTGGATTTCAAGGACAAGGAATTCTTGTCAGTGACAGTTGGCTGACGCATACCTGGGTGACAGGTATTCTCATATGTCCCGTTCGTATAGTGCCCCGCAGTTTCGTCAGGGACAGTTGATCTTCGACAAATATACGGCGCTCACATGAAATTTTTATTATTTCGAATTTTAGGTTGTATTTTGGGCACTTAAAGCGTTGCTTCTCCCATAACTCTGATTCTTACTATTTTCCTTACAATGATGACTTACTAGTTCGTTTAAATCTGAGGTGATGACAGGGCTTTCTAAACCGCAAAACCTCCTCTAAAGCACGCAAGACCGAGGAGATCCAAGGTTACGGGGACCACAACGAATGGAAGGACTTCTTCTCCATGACCAAGGCTGTCTACAGTCCGCCAACCAAAACAACTTCTCCGCTTCTCAGCACCGAAAGCAGCACCCTAAAAATTATACAACGATGGGCCGAACACTTCAGAGGCGTTCTCAATTGCCCCTACACCATCTCCGACGCCGCATTCGCCCATCTAACTCCAATGGAGATCAACGCCAAACTCAGTCTACTGCCCTCTCTCCACGAAGCCGTCGGGGTCGTGCGGCGGCTCTCCAGCGGAAAAGCATCGGGATCGGACGCGATCCCTGCTGAGACCTACAAGTACGGTGGCCCCCAACTCATGGATCCTTTGACGTCCTTATTTCAGGCGACGTGAAGCCAAGGAGATGTCCCAAAGGATTTCAAGAACGCTACAATCGTGCATCTGTACAGACGGAAAGGAAACCGCCAGCTCTGCGACAACCACCGAGGCATCTCCTTGCTGAGCGTCACCGGGAAAATTTTACTCGCATTCTTTTCAACCGCCCGAATAATCATTCGGAACAAGCTCATCTGCCGGAAAGCCAGTGTAACTTCCGCCGTCATCGTGGGACCACCGACATGAGCTTCGTCGCTCATCAACTTCAGGAGAAATGCCAGGAGATATGGATCCACCTCTACTCTAACTTCGTGGATCTGACGAAAGCTTTCAACACGGTGAATCGTGAAGGACTGTGGAAGATTATGCAGAAATTCGGCTATCCCGATCAATTCACTCAGATGGTGCGTCAGCCCACGATGGCATGATGGCGCGCGTCACGGACAACGGAGCTGTCTCAGAGGCATTCGCAGTGACCAACGGAGTGAGGCAGGGCTGCGTCCTCGTGCCCACCCTCTTCAGTTTTATGTTCTCTGTCATGCTGATAGACGCCTACCTTGACGAACGTCCCGCAATCCGCATCGTCTACAGGACGGACGGTCAACTTCTCAATCACCGATGGATGCACTTTAAGTCGCGTGTATCCACAACAACTCTTCATGAATTTCTGTTCGCCGACGACCGAACTCTCAACGCCACCTCCGAAGAGGACATGCAAAGGAGCATGGACCTTTTGGCTGCTGCCTGCGACAACTTCGGTCTGGTCATCAACACGGAGAATACAGTGGTCATGCATCCACCGCCACCGGACGCTGCCTATGTCGCACTCCGAGTTAACGTAAACGGCGCCCAAAGGCAAGTAGTGGATAACTTCACCTACCCGAGCACCACTAAGATCGACGATGAAGTGGCCCGCCGGATCCCTAAAGCCAACCAAGCGTTCGGCCATCTGCAGTGCACAGTCTGGAATCGCCAAGGTCTTCGCCTCAAAACCAATCTCGATTTGCACAAGGCTGTTATCCTACGAACGCTGCTGTATGGATCAGAGACTTGGACGGTGTACAAGAAGCAGGCACCCGACTGAAGTTGAGATCAGATCAGATCAGATTTATTAAGGGAAAAGTAGGCGAGCGCCTTTGAACTCCCTTTTGGGTACAATAACGTCATAAATAAAACAATGTGTAAGGCAAGTGTGAAAAAAAATTAGGTAAGTAATTACATACATCAAGC